GCGCCGGACTGGAGTTTTTTTTTTTTTTTTTTCAAAAAAAACTTTATTTGACCAATGTACATTACACCAGGTGGCTACACTCTACCCCTTCTATTCATTCTAGCTAATCTGAATCGTTCAATTCCATTTAGAGGGCGAGATCATCTGTGGTAGTAGCACTAGACATCTTCCAGGCATGTTAGTAAAACCAGCAGCAGTTCAGTGGACAGGATGAATGAACGGTAGCCGGCACGCACGGATGACGTCATACACACCTCACTTTATTTAAAAAATAATAGAAATATAAAGAATACAACCGCAGATGTCTTGGGGAGAGTGATTCGCCTACATGTAACGAATGCTGGCGTACCATAAAGAACAATTTATGAACAGTTCAGTTTGTGCCTTCAAGTCGTTTGCCCATAGATAGGTAGATGTTACTTGGATATAACCTAACGGAATATCACAAAGCTCATATTGGTGAGTAGAACATAATGTAATAGTGTAAAATCAAGGGCCAAATGTAAAAAAACGCCCTCCCCTTTAACCCAGGTGAATTAAACTCACCTGGTTTACAGAGTAGAACAACAATCAGGAGCAGAGAAGAAAGACAATTTCTGAATGGCTCCAAACAATTTTTAAGATTTTGGGTAGTCTAACCAAAGTCTGCATTTAAAACCAGTTGAAATATTGTGGTTTATTTTTTAAACAGGCTTTTAATGTCTAAACACAAATGTGACTGATTTCAAAAGTAAACTAAAGTTTCCCAAAACTGCTATAACTTGATTTTTACCAGTTATTGTAAACGTTTAAAGGCGGTTAGGATGCAATTTCATTTTTTTTTTTACATGGATCCATTTTGGTTTGGGAAGCTTTTAGTACATTAATAGGTGAGATTTATAATTTACATCTCAATGTCTGCATTTACTCCAGTTATTATTGTTGTATGTTTTACTGTTCTCTAAGGAAAGCTTTTATCTTACATGAAGGCAATAATATTCTGCATATTGCTTCTAGTTTACTGGTTGGTGCGTATTGTTGTTTTGACAAAATGCTTTCTTTCCGCCCAGGATCAGTTATCAGCAGACATGTACAGTTTTGTGGCCAAAGAAATAGACTATGCAAGCTACTTCCAGACAGTAAGTGCAACACATGTACAGCTGTGATGTTATTGTCCAATCCAGCTATACCCTCTGCTGACCCTTTGGTCTCTCAATGTCTTTCTGTTCAGTTGATAGAAGTCCAAGCAGAGTACCACAGGAAATCATTAGAGCTCCTCCAGAGTGTGCTGCCACAGATCAAAGCTCATCAGGGTGAGTTTGAGTTTACAGTTGTGATTCTGCCTCTGTTCATCTCTGTGGCATTTTTGTTACACTGGCATCTCAATTTTCAATTCAGTAACGGATTAAACAACAAGAGACCAGAATAATCTGCATGAAAGTCTTCCTTTGGTAGCATATTAACAGATTTAGCCTTTAGTGTTTGATTTCACTCATTTCTATTTGTGACTTGGAAAGGTTTATTTTCTACGGAGCCCCTCTGATGACATGGTCAAAAAAATTTTTTT